AAAGGAAAAGGATTCATTAATGGAAAATTGTTTTTATGTTGTCAGAGGATTTTAATTAGCATCATGAGAAAATAATATAATGAAGCTAAGGAAAATATTTTAGATTTCTTAAAAAAAAAAGTCATGAAGACCAGATTTTAACCTCCCCTCTCATAAAACTAAGAAACCAACAAAAAAACAAAAACCTAATTTCCAAAAGAATGTCGAATAAAAAAAAACATCTTCATCTGTAATGGAAACAAGAAAGTGAGGCATCCACATATCCTATGCTTGGAAGACTTTCTTACAAAAATACTACAAATGGGATGAGATAGAAAGAAATCACCAAGATGTGAGTCATCAGTACTGTTTCTGAGAAAGAAATGAGGCAGACATCAATTGAACATTAAATGGTACCAATCACTGCTCTTAGCAACTTACATGTACAACTCATTGATTCTCAAAAACCACCATCCAAAGAGTTAGCCTCATCTTTAGGTGATAAAACTGAGGCACTGACAGTTTAAGTAATTTGCTCATGGTCATAAAAAGTGGTGGAGCCAGGATTGAAACCTGTCTTTTTACCTCTAAAGTCTGTGCACTTAACCTCTACATTATCAGAGGTAACTAACAAGGACACATGGACAAAGAATGGTTGGTTTGTTTTCTCCCAGGAGGTGGAGAATGAGGAAAGTAAAGAAAGGGAAATGAGGCAGTAAAGAAAGAACTATTTGATATGTTTGAGTATAAGTATTAACTGATGGAGAAAGGTTTCAGAAGACACAGGAAAGATGAGATCAAGAACAGAAAAAGAGGGGCCGGCCAGGTGCCGCAGCCGTTAAGTGCGCTCGTTCCGCTGCAGGGCCCCAACTTTGCAGATTTGGATCCCGGGCGCGCAGAGACGCACCGCTTGTCAAGCCATGCTGTGGCCGTCCCATATAAAGTAGAGGAAGATGGGCACAGATGTTAGCCCAGGGCTAATCTTCCTCACACACACACAAAAAGAACAGAAAAGACAATATCTTTGAGAGGAGGAACACTTCATTTTCTGAGACCAGAGTAAAGAAGGTATGGGGAGAGCTCTGGATCACAACTTCAAAATCATGCCAAAGCATTTTACTTTGTGCCCATTAAAATCCTTTATTTTCTTCTGAGAAATTAATGAGCTTTTTAATGGAAGACAGCATAAACTAGGTAATGAATTTTGTTAATTTTATGTCCCAATTTGTTTTTCCTATGAAGGTCAGATTCAAATTTGAAGCTCAATTCTAAATTAACTTATTTCTCTATATTCTAATTGTAATTTTCTCCTGGTCTTAATCATTTATATTTTTTCCTGATGGGATTTTTATCCATTTAGGGTTTTTCATCTTATTATTGAGATTATTGTGACCCACTTTATCTGCAGTACAGAATAAGACAATAAAAGAAACACATCATTTAAACTCACTTGGGATTTGGTCATTTCTTCTTCTTCCTGGGCGAGTCAAGAATCCGGAAATGGCCAAGCTGCGTGATGGGTGGAAAAGAAGCCATGAAAAATCAGGCTTGCTTTGTAGCTGTAGACAAGTCAGGCAAGAAATCTCCAGGTAAATAAGTTCAATCACCTTGTGGGCGAACAATCTTAAGACCTATCAAAAAGCTAAGAATAACCACACTGTTTGGAGGCACCAATATGTACAAGCATGACTGACAAAAGCCTATGGAGCTTCAATGTGAATTTTTAAAATTATTTTAAGATTAGAAGTATAATTCACAAAGTATTTTTAAAGACCACTCCAGACTTTTGTTTTTTTTAATCTATCTATCCAATCTCAAACTTATAGTAAAGTTGCAAATATAGTAGAAAGAGCTTTTTTTTCCCCGAACCACTTGAGAATAAATAGCTGACCTAATGCCACATCACCTCTGAATATGCTATGTATTTCCCACAAACAAAGACATGTCCCTACATAACCACAACACAATTACCAAAATCAAGAAATTAACATTAATACATTACTATCATCTACATCAGATCCCATTCAATTTTGCCAATTGTGTCAATAATGTCCTTTGCACTAAAGGATCCAGTTCAGAATCACGCATTGTGTTCATGTCATGTCTCTTTAATCTCCCTTAGCCTGAAACAGTTTCTCAGTCTTGCCCTGACTTTCATAATCTTGACGCTTTTGATGATTATAAGCTAGTCTTCGGAGAATGTCCCTCCGATGGGGTTTTCTTTAGTGTTGCCTCATAATCAGGTTATGCATTTTGGAAGGAATGCCACAGAAGTGACGCTGCATTCTTCTCAGGGCATATCAGGAGGCACATGATGACAGCCTGGCCCATTACTGGTGATATTCTTTTTGATCAACTAGTAAGATGTATCTGCCAGCCTTCTCCACTATAAAATTACTCTTTTTCCCTTTGTAATTAATAAGCATTTTATGGAGGGAGTATTCTGAGACCACATAAACATCCCATTCTTCATCAAATTTTCAATTTATTAATTTATATCAGTATGGACTTGTGATTTCCTATTTCATTCAAAGCCTATAATCTATTACTATTATTATTTATATTAATGTTCAGTTTGTCCCAGATTTGGTAAGTGGGAACCCCTTCTCTCTGGCTCCTGTGGCCTTTTTAACAAGTCCCTATCATTCTTTGAGCACTTCCTTACTTTCACGTACAAGATGTTCCAGGCTCATATTGTATTTGCCCTGCCCCAACACTGGAATCAATCATTTCTTCAAGGAGCCCTGGTTCCTATTAGTGGGGGGAATGGTATTTAGAGGCCATGATCTGGGTGCTAGTGTGCTCACTGCTATCAGGAGTCACTGCTCCCAGGTCCTCTCAGTGGACAAAGCTAATGAATATAAATAAATACACACATAGATTGCATACACACATTTACATCTATATTTTTACATCTGTATATATAATTAAAATTATAAGTTCACACTAATACTTCCAATTCTAATCTAAAACCCCTGGGTTCATTCTAGTTTTGTCCATTTTCATATGTGTAACTTCCTTCTCTGACAAATATTTGTTCTGTTATCCTTAAAATATATATATACACATATATATGTGTGTGTATACAAAATACATTGATTATTCTCCCTGAAAGTAATCAAAATCCCATTGCCACTGCCATACTCTCTCCTCACCGTGCTCAGGCTCCAGCACACTGCTCTGGCCATCATGGCTTCACTGGCATGTATGCCTACCTCGCTCAGCTCCACCTAATGGCTTTAGGATTAAATCATTAGGAGAAAAGAAAGTGAAGAATCTTTCGCAGCTAGGTTAGAGAGATGTATTGTAAGAAGGACTCAACCCACTGTTGTTGGCTTTAAAGATGGAGGAAGGGGGCCATGAGCCAAGGAATGTGGGCCCTAGAAGCTGGGAATGATCCTCAGCTTATAGCCAGCAAGAAAATGGAGACCTAGGATCTACAGACGCAAGCAACTAAATTCTGCCAATAACCCAAATAAGCAGGAAACAGATTCTCCCCTAGAGCCTCCAGAAAATAACAGCATTGCTGACACTTGATTTTAGTCTGGTGAGACCTGTACTGGACTTCTGACCTATAGAACTGTACGATAATAAATTTGTGTTGTTTTAAGTCACTAAGTTCGTGGGAATTTGTTACAGCAGCAAGAGAAAACTAACACAATGGTCATTTAATTTTCAAGAAAGGTACCACAGACATCTACTGTTGAAAATGCTATGTGTAACAAAATCGTACTGAAACAACTTGATATCCATATAGGGAAAAAAAAAAAAAGAACTTCAACCCCATCTGACACCATGAACAGAAATTATTCAAGATAAATCCTAGACTGAATATAAAAAGCTGCAATTATAAAGCTTCTAGAAAAAAAATATAGATAACTATCTAAATATCTTTCCAACTTGGCAATAGACAACAGTTTCTTAGAACACAGAAAGTAATAACTGTAAAAGGAAAAAATTGATAAACTTTATAAAAAACAACACTCCTGCTCATCAAAACACATTATTAAAAAAATGACTGGGGGGGGCCTGCCCGGTGGCGCATGCGGTTAAGTGCACGTGCTCCACTGCGGCGGCCCGGGGTTCACCGGTTCAGATCCCGGGCGCACACCGACGCACTACTTGGCGAGTCATGCTGTGGCAGCGTCCCATGTAAAGTGGAGGAAGATGGGCATGGATGTTAGCCCACGGCCAGTCTTCCTCAGCAAAAAAGAGGAGGATTGGCAGATGTTAGCTCAGGGCCCATCTTCCTCACAAAAAAAAAAAAAATGACTAGGAAACCCAAAGGCTAGGAAAAATATTCACAGAGCATTTGTCTGACAGAGGCCTGATATCTAGGATATATTAAGAACTTACATAACTCAACAATCAAAATATGAACAAATCAATTAAAAATGGAAAATTTGAGCAGTTCACAAAGGGAAATGTTCAAATGGCCAATAAGCATATAAAAAAGTAGTCAACATCAATAGTCATTAGGGAAATGCAAATTAAAACCACTATGAGACACTACAGAACACCAATGAGAGAGATACCCAGAAGGACAGCACTGAATGTTGGTGAAAACGTAGGGCAACTGGAACTCCCATACTCTGTTGTTAGGAGTGTAAAATGGTACAACTACTTTGGATAAAGGTCTGGCAGTTTCTTATAAAACTGAACTTACACCCATACACTATGTCCAAAGAATTCCACTCCTAGGAGTTTACCTAAAAGAAATGGAAACATACATTCATAAAAAGACATGTCCAGGAATGTTTATAATAGCATTATTCATAATAGCCAAAACCCTAGAAATATCCTAGAAGTCCAACAACAGGAGAATGGATAAACTGTGATATAGTCATACAATGGAATATAACTCAGCAATAAGAACTACTAAGACACACCACAAATACACACCCACACACACATTACAACATGGATGAATTTTAAAAACATACTGAGTGAAAGAAGCATTACACAAAAGAATATTCTATGATCTCATTTATGTGAAGTTCTAGAAGAGACAAAATTAATCTACAATTGAAAAATATCAGAACAGTAGTTGCTTCTGGATATGGGGATGGAAACTGGGCAGGAGCAAGAGGAAACTTTCTGCGATGATGATATTTTTCTTTACTTTGATAGGATTTTGGTTTGCACAAGTGTATCAATTTGTCAACATTCTTCAAATGGTAATTTTAAGATGAGTGTGTTTCATTGTATATTAATTTTACCTAAAAAACTGTAACTAAATATTCAACTTTAGTTAGTGATCTGCATGTTAAGTGTTTGGGGTAAAGTATACTGCTGTCTGCAACTTACTTTGAAATACTTCAAAAAATGAATCAGGGGCTGGCCCCATGGCATAGTGGTTAAATCCAGCACACTCCGCTTCAGCAGCTCGGGTTTGCAGGTTCGGATCCCAGGTGTGGACCTACACCACTGGTCAGCCATGCTGTGGTGGCGACCCACATACAAAACAGAGGAAGACTGGCACAGATGTTAGTTCAGGGCTAATCTTCCTCAAGCAAAAAAAGAGGAAGATTGGCAACAGATGTTAGCTCAGAGTGAGTCTTCCTCTCCAAAAAAAAAAAAAAATCAATTCACGGATGAATACATAGATGGATAGATGGTTAATTATTTGATAAAGCAAATATAGCAAAATATTAATTGTAGTATCTAGGTGGTGAATATATGGGTATTCATTGTACAATTATTTTAGTTTCCTATATGTTTGGAAATTTTCATGTAATATAAAAAGATAACTATCAACCTATAATTCTACACTCAGCAAAAATATCTTTTAAGAATGCGGGGGTTTTAGACAAATAATGACTGAGAGAGTTTTCAATAACAGACCCTCCTAAAGGAAACTGTGATGGCTGTACTTCAGGTGGAAGGAAAGTGATGAAAGAAGAAAGACTTTGGCAAAGGATGTAGTACACTTATGTGGAATTAAACAGTCAGTTCAGAAAACAGTTATAAGAATGTCTCCATACGTGTGTGTGCATTATTTTAATGCTTATGTTAAAAAATTTACCAGGACATTCTTAAATGATCAAAGTCTAAACTTAATTAACATTTTTATTTTCTGCCCAGCAGTCCAATGATGTTAGACTACTTCAACTCCAGTCACTTCTCCTGCCAGCTTATAAGCTATTATTGTGGTATTTTTAAATTATGTATCTGTGTGTATACAGATACACACACATATATACATATATAACTAAAATATACCACAATGATGACATTTAAGTTGGTAAAAGTAATGATTGGTGTAAAAGTATTCTAACATCATTATACTGCCGCGCAGGAAAAATGTTAATTAAGTTTAGACTTCGGTAACTTAAGCATGTTCTGTTAAAGTTTTAGCAAAAGTACCAAAGTAATGCAAATAGAATGTATACCTTCCAAAAGAGTAGCAAATAAAGGAAGGGGAGGGGAATCAATCTAAAGAAAGAATAAAGGGAGAAATGGAAACCTTAAGAAGTTATATGTGATATATATATATGTGTGATATATATCACATCACAAAATAAAATGGTAGAAACAAATACAAATACGTCAGTAAATGTCTGACTGGATAAAGAAACAAAATCTAACTATATGCTGTTTTCAGGAGATATATTAAAGAACTATAGAGAAAGGCTAAAAATGAGAGAACAGAAAAAACATAAGGCAAAATACTAATCAAAAGAAAGTTGGTGTAG